CACTCGAGAACAAGTATTGAAAGCTCTTCCTGGGCAAGCTAGATGCTGTGTTTATCGCTAGCCATCATATTGTCAATAGCGAGTTTCTTGATCAAGCCGGTAAAGGTCTATTTTATTGAATTTTTTAGAATTTCACTTTTTATCTTCAATAATTTCATGATTATACAGTCGTTTCAAAATTTTCTCAAGTAAAACATTTTTTTAAGAAATATGCTTTTAAAACTTGATCGAAATATTTTTTCTAAATGTTTGTTATATTTTGAGTAAAATACTAAGAAATGTGGGAGAAGAAAATTATTTGAAGTTAAACATTATAAATTGATTAATTTTTTCTAATAAATATTAACAGCAGTTGCTGGAACGGTGCAGGATAGTTTGGTAGTAGTTTATTTTTAGATAAAAAACCATCAGATCAAGTCGATAACTATGAGTGATTTTGTTAAAAAGGATAACAGTAATTTCCAATTAGAGAATGAGAAAGTTAAATATAATAATTATATTTTATTATTAAAAAAACTTTAGAGTTGATGCATATAAGTCAATAAATAAAAGCATAAATTGTAACGAAATCACATAAAAATTTAGAGTAAAAAATTATTTAAATTTCAAACAATACAATATCAAATTTGGATATCAAAAGGAACTAACGTTAGATCACAATAATATAATTTGTAAAATAATTGTACAGAATTATCAGACAAAAATATTAAACGCAGTTTGTTTATAAAATTCGAACTTCTATAAGTGCATCAACGGTAATTATGCTCATTAGCGATTAATATATAATTTATCAATAGAAACAGAAAGTTGTTTAATGGTTCGGCACTCTTCTCGAAATTATTATGTATAAATCAATCATAAAGACAAAGAGAAATGATGACTTAATAATACTAATCAGCGAGCATGTCAATAAAATAATTGTTTTGTATAATGATCGCCAAAATGCGTCGAGCTTCGATATTAGGAGTTCTCGAACTTTCAAAAAACGTGATAAAATTGTAAAACTATAAAACAAGAGTTAATAAAATTTTAGAATTATGATAATTCGTGAATTTAACAATTGATTTTTTGGAATAAATATCAAGCTATTGATATTTTTAGAAATATCATTCTTTTATATATAAAATATAAAAAGAAAACACTCATGTAAAAAAAATTAGTGATTTTATTTTAAAAAATCTAGAAGAGGCTTCTATAATTATAAAGATATTAGACAACAAATTGTATATAAATTTTATTAACACAAAATATGCAAAAATGTCTAACATAAAATTTATTCATGCATAATTTTATTTTAAAATTCAAGCACACAGAATAAAAAATGAATCAATTGATATAAAGAAAACACGTACTGTTCTTAAAGGGTACACAATGTGCGACTACATATTTTTTTCTTTCAAAACTTAAGAAAAAGCGAGATTTTATTGCAATTTCCATCGTTTTCAGGACCAAATTTAAAAGTCGTGTCGACAATGTCGGCCGGATACGATCATTTAGATATTCCAGAAATTAAAAGAAGAGGAATTAAGGTCGGGCACACACCGATGGTACTTTCTGCTGCAGTCGCGGAAATTGCGGTGCTTTTAATGTTATCCGCGGCGAGACGCGCCCGTGAGGGGCGCATAAAGTTGGAACAGTAATTACAATTTTACCTTATTTTATTAAATTTAATTGACAACAGAAATTCTTGTATTTGAAAAAGGTAAGCCTGGTAAGATTAAATAGAAAAATAATGCCATATTTTATTTAACGAATGTCAGATCTTTTTTTAATATACGTTTGCTAAATATTTTCTGTATACAATTTTCTTTTATTTATATCGCATTAATGCATAAATAAATATAGATCTAACTCAAACGGCAGCTTACAATAAAATTATTAATTTACTTTTGCCGTCTTTCGTCGGAGTGTTTAAGTAAATATATAGTGACAAATGTACATACAGACATGATAATGTAATTTAGGGGTGAGTCATCAACAGGACCACAATGGATGCTGGGACAAGATTTACGAGGTTCTACAGTCGGTATCTTTGGCTTAGGAAATATTGGCCAAGCAATAGTTAAACGATTAAACGGATTCGAAGTAAAGCGCTTTATTTATACCGGACATTCGCGCAAGAAAGAAGGTTTGTATAATCCATTAAGAAAAGTAATATGAACTTTACACGATCTATAATACTGATTAGTAATATTGAATTAATTATATTGATTGTAGTTTACAGTATGCATCACATTTTTATAACAATCAGTATTATTGACAATATTTCAGCTCAGTTTTACAGAATTTATGTAATTACATAATTGTGCAATTATACTGACAAAAATAATGACGCGCCCTTTCTTCGAATATTCTTGAGTGATCCGAATTTCTTAATTTTCGAGCATCAATTTCTTCTACATGGTAGAGACATCCTTTACCACAGAGCCGATGCTGATACTCTAGAATCATGAAATTCGAATCACTGTCAATATTCTACGATTCTACGATCATCAGTATTAATTACATATGATCAATTTAATAATATTGTCAGTATTTGTTGGTACTGACCATATTAATAAAGTCCATAAAATATTTTTTCGATTTTAATGTCCTATATATTGCATCATTGCTTGAAAAGTGACACTCAAAATTAAATTTCTTCAGTCTTTTGATGATTGATATGGTAATGATTACATAACTCATTCATAATAATTAAAAATTCACGTTTTCTTAAGTTGTATCAGTTTTGAATTAAGAGTTTATTATACTATGTACATTCCATATCCTCTATATTTTCTTTTATAATACTTATGAACAATTTTATAATAGCTATAAATAATTTAATTGTAAAATATGGATTAATATACAAGTGTTTCATATATTTTAATTGCCCATCTTAAACAACCTGTCTTGTAAATAACGCAATTAATGTAAAAAATGTTTCAAACAAAAGTTATGTCTGAAAGAGGATAAAATAATGGGGTAAAATCAGTTTTCGAAAAAATCAATTTTTTGTAATCATATGAAAGTTATCGCCATTTTTCAAAATGGAATTATATGATTTTTTTACATAATATAATTTCTCTAGTTATTCTCCATATAAAATTATTGAAATAAAGTTATCAAAAAATTAAATAATTCACGAGATATTTTATACTTTATACTGGCACATTTTGACATGAAATATAAAATATCTCGTAAATTATTTATTTTTTGGTAACTTTACTTGTACTTTAATATGTATGCATAGAAAAATGAAATGAATCAATTGATGTAAAGAAAAGTTTCTATTCGAAAAAGATATGTAGTTACATATTGCAAATTGCATAATTTTTTTGACACAGTACGTTACTAAAAAATGAAGTTTTACGAAATATTTTATTTTATATTAACATTTACCAAAATAAAGTATTAAATATTTTGTAAATTATTAATTTCTTGATAAGTCCATTACTTTTATATGCAGAATATAACTAAAAGAATCATGTGCAAAAAGTTATATAATTCTATTTAAAGAAATGACCGACTTTTGTGTGATCTTTAAAAATCGATTTTTTTGAAAATTAATTTGTAAAATTATATTTGCCCTCCCTCAGGCCATACAATTTTTGTCTAGTATATTTCCCACAATAATGCAGTATTTTTAAGATATTCGAAGACAACAATTAAGATGAGACATCTTGCATATTCTTTTTATTAATTTTATATATTTATTATAGTTATGCAAAAATATATATAAATTCTCATAAAAGCTAAGTTATATTCATTAATTAAATAGATTTTCAACGATATAAAAAATCTGAATAATTACGTAAATTTCCAACAAAATTTATTGCTTCGCGAAAATTTCTTTCGCGTTAAAATAGTGAATTTATAGGATTACTGTTTAGACAAATATTTTACATGTATATATAATACATAATATACATATAATACATAATTAACTCATTTTAAAATAATATGATTTAGAAGATGAACTTGGAGCGATATTTGTACCTCTGGATGAGCTTTTAAAACAGAGTGACTTTCTCGTGATTTCGGCGCCTCTAACCGATGAAACCCGAGGACTTTTCAATGATAGCAAATTTGATAAGATGAAAAAAACAGCCATCTTTGTGAACATATCTCGCGGTCAAATCGTCAATACCGGTTCACTTGTGAGAGCTCTTCGTGATAAGAAGATATTCGCTGCTGGATTAGACGTTACTGATCCAGAACCGCTACCACCGGATCATGAACTTCTGAAATTACCTAATGTCGGTCGGTCATCATTTTTATTTTCTTATTTTGTTATCACACACAATATCACATAATATCACTTGAGTGTTCCAAAAATCAATGTTCTAGAGATTCTGTAATTTCTAAACGTTCAAGTAATATTATGCTATGATATATTATAATTTACATGTATTATAATGTAGTACAATATATCAATATATTTTTTTATAATTACAGAAATTATGCCACATTTGGGCAGCGCAACAATTAAAACCCGCAACGACATGTCGATAATCGCAGCGCAAAATATTCTCAATGTCTTTGAGGGCAAACCCTTAGTTTATCCTTTATAATCATTTTTCTGTATATTTTTTGTGCATTTCTTATATTCATTACTTTACCTATTAAGAAATGTTACTAGAAATGATTGTTTATTCATGATATAATAAAATTTATTTTTATTTTATTTTGTTAATTTTGATTCATCTTCAAGATTAGACAAATATAATCACTTGAGAAATCGTAATCTTAATTTGATTATTCATAAGATTCGTTAAGTTAATTATACGAGTATAATCAAGTAAATATTTTATTGTTATAAAGTGAGTTATTTCTAGGTATTCCTTAAAGTCTTTGTCATCAGATTCAATTATTTAATCATTCATGTTTATATTGGAATAATTTTATAAAAGATAGTTGTATAGGATATCTTCAAAAATTGTACACAATTGTATCTTTAGTATATTTAGCTGTTTTGCTAAATCTGATAAACCTTTCGAAACTTGTTCTTCTAAAATCTATTAAGTTTCAAAAAATTCTTTACGATTTATTACCTATATTACTTGTTGTGTAATAAATTTATTACATATATTACTTAATGTAATAAATTTAAAATTTACAGCACACAGTTTTTTTTATGAAAGATATTATATTTTTAATAAATAAATATTATTCTAACTTCGAGTATATCTTTAAGTTTTTCAAAAAGAGCTTCTTTGTAGGTTTTTTGCATTCATTTAAAGTATTATATAATTCTTTACTTTACAAACACACTTGTAATATTATGAACAAATGCAAGTAAGTAAAAACATGAAAACGTATTTATAATCCTTGAAAAAAATATTATTGTTTTTGCAATACTTGCAATAATTTATACATTTATATTTGAACGGTGTTCAACATCTATCATCCGTAATGAACAACAGGTAACCATCAGGCTTCCACTACTGCATTCTTTAAACTACTTAAGATAGGATCAATCTTATTTTCCAATGATAATACATGGCCAGTGTTGCAATTGTGACTAGCAATAAAACTAACAACCAACGGCAATTTATTCATCTGGATTACCTGAAAAACATATAAAAAATATTTTTAATTGCTAGAACAATTTCATATGTCAATCAACATCATATGCCAACTAACTACACTTGTATAATTTCTATAACTTTGTATAACTTCTATAATTTTAGAATTTATTTTGTAATATCTTAAATAATGAAAATAAATTAATTTAAAATAAAAAAATAATTATAAAAATAGTTTATATTATTTGATAAAATAATAATTGTTAAAACATTTTTAATTATTTTATCAAATATTGCAATATATCCTATTATTTCTGGTAATGACTAAAAATTGTTCTTCCTATCTCTATTATTTTTATATTTTTATAGTTTTCAAAAACTCAATTATTTATTTTGTCTTAAAATTGCCAACATAAAATTAAATTTACACACGAATTTTAGCATAAATATTATATATTTATGCTAAAATTCGTGTGTATATACACAATTTGTTGTGTTTTACCTGATAATTACTGTACATGCATATAATAGTTTTATTTTTGCCAAGTCCCAATTTACTTCCTTGATCAGTAGCCATTCCAAAAGTAGATAAAAAACTGGCTCTTGTAGCTAACTCTGGTGCTTTTTCGTTAGCTATAGATATAACAGGTACTCCATCCCTGTCCGTAATTAATATACTATGCAAACCCTCTACATCAGTTAATAGTCCGTAGAGAAACTTCTTCAATTCCTAAAATAACAAAATTATAATCTAAATTATTTAAAAAATCTAATAATTAATTATCCATGTGTCTAACTTGCTTCAATTATTGTCATAATTGTTGATAACAATATAGTATTACTTATATATATATAAAACGCAAAGAAAAAGTTGATTTTAATAAAAAAAAATGTAAAGATGACACTTTACAATAAGAAAAGAAACATATATTTGTCACAAAATACATAATCTTTTGCTAGCAAATTCTGTTTACAAATCTTTTATCACACTGCCACAAAGAGCTCCAAAAATTGTGCAAAATTTTAAGTTATAAAAATAGGTTAGAATATTATTATTATTTAATTAAAAAACAAGGAAAAAAGGGACTGATGAGAGTCAACGCAGTATACTTGATGTGTGCGAATTTCAATTCGTTTTAATAAATACCTCACAATTACAGTAGAACGTTTCAGTTCCAATTTGACAATGAGCCATCCTTAGCAATACAGAAAACTTGATGGTACTCAAGTTTCTTTCTATATTGTTGAGGATGGTTAAAATCAAAGCCGAAACATTCTACTGTAATTGTGAGGATATTTATTAAAACAATGGAATTTTGCATGCACCAAGTATCATGTTGACTCTCATTATCCCCGTTTTTTTTGTTTTTTTTAAATTTGAGAGTTCGTTTTATTTGTTCAAAGGAAATACTATCCACATTGCATGAAATCATGGTATTTCATGACATTTTACAATTTTTAACAAAATACTATTAAGAATTTTTGTCTTTCTAAATATTAACAGATTTGAAGAATACCAAAGTTTAAAAACCTCCTTAGATTTTAAGAAACATTTAAATAAACTGTACAATGTGCAGATATACAATTTTTGCACAACATCCTTTGTAAAATCTTTCTGATTAGTCGAAAACAGGCTTTATTGTCTGTACTACAGTGTCTGTACTATAAATTTTGTTGATAGAATACCAGTAAAGATATGAAAGAATTTAGTAACTGAATAATAGAATAATAGAATATAATGCAGATTGATTGCAGAAACTAATAAGTAAAATCAGACATTTCGCAATCATTTAAGTGATACGTTCCATTTAAAATGTTTACAAAATGAGATTCTATAATTCAGTTTCTGTCGACAAAATACCGAGTTTCATGCAGACACAGAGGATATCTACTACAGATATATCTTGGGCAAATCTGCTGTCAATCCGTTGCCATACAGCGAGCAATTCACTTTCTTTTGAGGATGAGCAAAAAAACGTTTATCAATGCGTGCTTCTCTTATATTGCACATCTATTCTTTTTTTCACGATTTTTGGAGCACCTGCAATAACATGATAGGAAAAAAAAATCGGAGATATTTTATAACTAAACGAAATAAAGTATATAACCTCAAACTTTTGACAAAGCGTGACGCTTTTTTTTATTACAACAAATATTCAAACTTACAAGCGTCATATTTTTCCAAGGAACGTGCACGAGTTCGTAAACGACGATCGAGCGATAGGATTAATTTTTTCGAGCGCACACGATCATCGAGCGGTATCACTGGTATCACTCGGTCTTCTGTTGATAGTCGTATCGTGCCGCACAGCTGCGCGGTATTAACGGTATGTGTTGGTATGCGCGTACGCGTAAACGCCTTTACGATGAGGCGTGACGATTGTGACTCACACGACAGCAATATAAACACTAAGTACTATATAAACTCCATAATTGTTCTTACAAAAACTTTACCGAGATTTCTGTTAGAATTTGTATTAGAGTTTAGACGTCATTTTTGCAAAAAGTGCGATATATCGCGGCATTGCTGCAATAAGGGTCATATCTTGAAAAATGACAATTTTGAGT